TTTTTTTTTAATAGGCTAATGGAGGAACGGAGAGAAAGAATCAACAACTTCTTGAGTGAACTAATGAAAGAGAAACTTGACAATGAAGATACGATTATTGCTAGAGATATTGCAGAAGCTGAGGCTGAGTGGGAAAAAAAAGAAAGAGAAAAACATGAAAAGAATAAGGCAGAATTAAAATCAATTGCAGAATATAGAGCCATTGTGGTAAGCAATTCAGTAATGACAAGTAAAAAGGAAAAAACAAATTTAAGTCCTTTTCTACTTTAGTTTCTACTCTCTGCTTCTCTGGCAAAGAACTCAGAGATTTGAGAAACAGAATGCAAATTATCTTCCTGTATTCTTCAGACCATGTTTATTTTCTAGCAGACCATGATAGAGCAATCAATTACAAATAAGATGTTTAGATACAAAGTAATAATCTTTTTATTTCAGAACATTTGGAAACTCAAAATTGTTACTCATGTAATATACTTACATTGGAGTATTTTTAAGACAAACCAAGTAAAAATTACTGTTGCATTTCTGTATGTCTTAATCCTTCCAAGTTCACCTCCTATGTGACTGTCATGAAATTTAAATTGTAAAGTTTCTATCAATCCAGGTATATAGGCTTTTGTGCTCCTTCATTGTTCCTGGCTTACTTTTAGCTTGGAGATTTCTAAATTAGTGCCCTATGAGAGAGCATTGGTTGCAAATAGGTTTAATTTTGCCTTTGCCATCTAGATGAAAAATAAAGAGGAAGAGGAAAGACAAAAAAAAATTGAGGATAAAGAACAGTTGCAGGCTATTTTGAAAGCAGATCAGATTTTCTATGAGCATGAAAAAGAAAAAAAACTCAAAGCTGATAAAAAACATAAGGAAATTCAAGAGGCTCATATTAAACAAATAGTAAGTATTCTTAAATGTTTACTTATTTTAGTATTGTTTTTGTACAATTATTTTTCCTTTAGTATCGTGCATTATGTATTAGTTACATATTAGAGATGACAATCTCTTTATATATGCAGTTGCAGGGCCTTTTTATTATTGAGTCTAATTGGAACCTCATAGTTTTAAGATCTGAGGTGACTGGAGTTACCAGAGATTTTAGAACATGTTTGAAGGATCTGGCATTTAACCATTTGTGACTTGAACATGTTTCCTAAAATGTTTATACCATTTCCTGTTCCATCTAGCAGTGTATATGAGGGCAAGTTGCTCTATACCCTCATCACTTTGTGGTGGTGGTCTTTAATGTTAACTATTCCAGTGTAGTGATTATCTCATGATGATATTTTGCATAATGACTACATATTAAACATCTTTTCATATCCTTATTGCTGTTTGTTGAGCTTGAATTTATTATTCTTTATGTGACAAATATCATTTCAGTCATTTTTAAGTGTAAGTAAGCCAGTAGTGCTTTTGGATTCTTGCTACAAAAACTACGATGAGTAGAGGGTGATATTCCAAAGAAAAACAAAGTTATTATTCTCCCAGGCTTTTAATTTTTCTTAGGCTTTCTCCCTCAGGTCTCTTGAGTGTAAAGCTTTTCAGTTAGCCAAAGATTAATGTAGAGTTTATTATCTGTCCTAAAAGTCTCATTTTCAGAAATCTCTTCAATTTCCAGTTGCTTTGTCACCCAAACAAATGAACTGCCTAGTAAATTTGCAAGTTTTCAGAACTCTTAAGCTGAGAGGAAAATAATGCATATCAGACAGAAGTGCTACAAACATTACCTGACTTAGTAGCAAAAAATACTTAAGCAGTGTTCTGGAATATTTGTTTTTAATAATAAATTTGTTTCCCGTGGAGGGGAGTTGGCCAATCTCCTCATTTGAAATTAACATTATCACAATTCCATTATCAGGGCCCTCCTTGATGTGCAAGTAGTTAGAGTGCAGAACTATGGAACTGTCCACATCCACTGCAGCACCCGAGTTCTATCCCTGGCCAGGAAGGTGACTTACATGTTGTGGCAGAGTTCTCTTGTCTTGCTGGCTGCTCCCCTCAGCAGTATATTTCAGTTGATCTGCCTGGTTTGCTCCCCACTCTGTCTCTGGTGAATCCTCTCACTTCCCACACCTCTGGCCTATACCCTAGTTCTTGTATGCATAAATAATAAATCTTTTTAAAAAGTCCATTATCACTTCTAAACCAATTAGTATTTGGTGTTTCAATTTCCCCCAAATTGTCTCATTTTTAAGGTTAGTGTTTGAAACAGGCTCAAGTAAAGCCCATATATTCCATTTCATTATGTCTTTCAACTCTTAAGCTATAATTCCTCTAGCCCTATCCTCTATGATGAGTTTTCCCTCTTTGTTTTTATGTTAGTGTTGCAATTTATTTAAGAATCTGGGTTTATTGTCTTTTAAAGAGTTATTACAATCTAGGTTTTGCTGACTGGCTCCCTGTGATATAGTTTAATATGTCCCCTAATTTTCATATAAAACTTTAATTCACATTCAATATTTTGGTGAAAATTCCCCATAGGTACTGCTGGTAACATAAAAATTGTTATCCCACTTTCTATGATATGAACAGCCTTTGACTGCTTAGACCTTTTTATTCATGAAGAAGTGGCAAGATATTGATACTGTCATTTCTTTTGATTAATTTTCTGAACTCCAAAGAACTTTTCATGACCAGCAGTTTTGTTTCTTTGAGGTACAATTTTGGAAAAAAAGAGATTTGATACTTTTCTTTTTCTATTTTATAATTCTAACATCACCTTGAGAATGTTACTTCCATTGGCTACCAATTTATTGTGATTTTTAGAATGCTAAATCAGTATTTTAAAACTTTATGGCCTATATTTATGCTTAGTATATATGTCAAATTACAGGCACCCAGAATGTGATTTACTATCATAATCCTTTCATTGTCACTTCCTATCTGTACTTCAAAAGTTTTTCCTTGTTATCTCAATATTTATAAACTATTAGCAAACCACATATCCCAAACAGTTCTTGTCAAGTTCCCAAATTATAACATTTGATCTTGGATGAAATAGTTTTTAGCTTTTTTCTGACTTTTCCTCACAATCTCACTGAACATGATTTTCTTTCTTTTCAAATTCCTGGTATTTGATAATAGATTCAACAAATAACATTTAAAGCCCTAATTTTGCATTATAGTACTAATAAAAAAAAACAAACTTGGTATTTACAGTCCTATGGTTCATCATAAATTTCAGTTTGGTAAAAAACAACTAACATCAACTTCTGATAGATTGCAAGGTTCAGGCTATTATTTTATACTTGAGTATTACCTATTGATTTTAAGATTTATTTATGCATACAAGAACTGTGGTGTAGGCCAGAGGTGCTGGATGTAGGGGTAAGAGGGCTCACCAGAGACAGAGTGGGGAGCAAACAGGTGGACTGACTGAAATATACTGTTGAGAGCAGGGGCGAGACAGGAAAGGTCTGCTGTACCATGTGGTTCAGCTCCCTGGCTGGGGATTGAATTTATGCTGCAGTGGGTGTGAATAGCTTGACAGTACTGAGACTTAACCCCTAGGCTACCAGGGAGGACCCCGATTTTGAAAAATATTTTCATGAATGTTAAATACATTCATAAATAAAATTATTCTTAATTTTTAATAAATTCAGCATTCCTCAAAACTGTTGCTGAGAAGACAAAATGAAAATTTGTCAACCAGTATTTCATAAATTTTTTAAAAAGCATTAAAATCACCTCATAGGGAGAATTAACCATGTGCACATTGTGAGCTGTGTCCTTGAAAATGTATAGATTTGCAAACAAATGGTTAATTGATTAAAAATAAAAATTCATGAAATATAAAGTTAATAGTATCTTTATAAACAGTTTAAAGGAAAAAAATTGAGAAAATGTTGGCAAATGAACTTCAGATTTCTTGCGAGTACTTATTCCATGCCTATTAAACCATAGATAAACCTACATTGATACAATGAAAGTCACTCATTGCAACTTGTCATTAGTTTTAGTTCAGATATTTATTGCTGATTTAATCTTATGTGCCTGATTCACATAGCCTGTTTAGCTAAAAACAGTGGGTTTAAGTGAGTTCCATCAAGAGTAGTGGGTAGGTAGGAACAGTGATTTGTAGTTTTCTATAATTGCCAAAGTATATGTCTCATAAATGGTAGAAATAGGATTCTAAACTTGGTTATTTGATTTTTATCTAAACCGCATGTTTTTTAGCTGTATTTCTATAGTTTGTTGAAAATGTATCGTCATATAAAGCTATTAAGTTTTGCTGAACCAGTACTTTGAGCATTATTTATGCAACAAGCATAGGAAGGTCTTTGAAATAAATTATAGTTATGTAGCTAGGAACATGTAAAGTATCAATGAGTTTGGCAAATTAAATGTGTAACTTCACATGATATGTCAATTTAGAAAGTTAATCTTATTTACCAATAAAAAAAATGTATTTCTTTTCTTTCCTAAATAGGCCAAAAATAAGTTCAATGCAAAGCAAGCAAAACAAGCCGAATTAGACTATTGGAGACTTACTGATGCACTTTTGGCTGAAAAGGAGAAAGAATTTCAGGATTATGCCAGAGAAGTAATTCAATTTGAGTCTGAGTCAACAAATAAATACATTTACCCTCTAGTAAAAGCTGTTCAGATGGGACCTGGAGGTGGTCGTGGACCAGTTTTCATGGACAGAGGTGGATTAAGACCCAGCTATCAGGCAAATGATGTTACCGGAGTCCAGCTTCCATTTTATAACTCTCATGGATCAAAATATAGTAATTTTCAAAAATCTAAGGGAAGACTAGGTTTTACATGGTAGAAAGTTTATTTTTCTCAGAATAAATTGTAGCTAATATTATGAGCTACAACTATGAATTATATGCTTAAAATTTCATTTAATAAAGCTGTTCTTCATCTAACTTATATCTAGTCTGATTTCTCACCCACCCAGGTTAACTCAGATTCTTTTTTCTTATTTTGATAACACACACAATACAAAATTGTGTAATTTTAGCAATATATTCAGTACTAAACCCATAGTACTGTACCATTACCCTGCTCTAGTTCTAGGACTTTATTGCTCCAAAAGGAGACCTTATACCTATAAAGCAATATGCCTATTAAGCAAGCGGAAACTCCCTATTTCCTCTTCCCATAGCCCCTAACAACCACTAATTTGTTATGTGTCTAGATATGCTTGTTATTTTCCAAGTTTCTATACTATACTATTAAACAACTATTTTCTCTCATCTTAAACTTGGGAGTATGGGGTTGGTTTTTGTTTTTAGATTCTGAGATCAGAATGGTATTTGTCTCTGATTTACTTAGTGTAATATTCTCTAGGCCTCTCCAAGCTGTCACAAATGGCAAAATTTCAATTTTATTATGTCGGAAGTATTCTATCATATAAACAGTCAAATGCCATTTAAGGATGTGGGGATACATTTGAGAAATTAGTAATTAGGTGATTTCTTAAGTGCGTGAATAGCAGAGTCCAATGACTCAAGTATAGATGGTACACCTATGTATGCACCTCGGCTATATGGTAGAGCCTATTGAGACAACCATCATATGTGTGGCCTATTGTTGGTAACAAGTGATGCGTGGCAGTTATATACCACAAAAGGACTTCCACAACAGCTTTCACAGGCTACACAGGACAGTGACTCATCCACATTCAAGAGAGTCATTATGTAAAGCAGTGGTGAGGGCAATCACTTAAAAATGAAAAAAAATGGAGTATCAAACAATCAGCTCAAACCTCAAAATATTTGAAAAAGAGCAAATGAACTCAAAAGCCAGTAGAAGGGAACAATTAATGAGAGTCAAAAAGATCAATGAAACCAAAAAGTAGTTCTTTGGTAAAAAAAAGATGAACTTCTAGCTAGATTCACTTAAAAAAAAAAGGGAGGAAAAAAGTTAATAGAATCAGAAAGAAATTATGTTTCAGAAACAGATCATAAGATTACTGTAACACCCATATGCCAAAACGTTGAATTATCTAGATGAAATAGAGAAATTTGTAGTAATTGAGAACTCTCCAAGACTGACACAGGTAGTAGTAGAAAAATTGAAGAAAGCAGTTACTAACAAGGAAACTGAAACTAATCAAGTCTCCCAAAGAACAGAAGTCCAGGCCGTTTCACTTGTGAGTTCTACCAAACCTTCAACAATGTACTATTATCTATGCTACTCACTCTTCTCAACAATAGAGGGAAAGCTTCCAAATATATTTTTATGAGGCCAACATCACTGATAGCAAAATCTAGTAAATCACAAAACCAAGAGAACTATAGACCAATTTTTCTGAAAATGTGTGCGAAATATCTTCAATAGAATCTCAGCAAACTGAATCCAACAGTATGTCAAAAGGATACATCATGACCAAGTTGGATTTATTCCAGGGACAAGAGGGAATGGTTCAACACTTGAAAATTAATGTAATACATCACATAAAAAAAGGAAATAAAGATTCAGAGAATCATCAAATAGATGCAGAGAACATCCAAATTAAGTTTATAGAGGTAAAATAACATTATATCTTTGTCCACACACGAATGTTCCAATAATCTGCCATGTTCTATTGGATTTGTTTCCTCTCCTACTCCCATCAGGTGGTTTTTAAAGCAAACCACAATTCTCAATCACTGCTTTGGGGTAATATGTATCTTACTGAAAACAGAAACCCAGGCTATAAAGGAATAATGTAACTGATATTAGAAACATTACAAGAAAGATTTTCATATTGTGTGCCAACATATTCTGAAGAACCAGTGTGTTATAAATGCAGTTGGTAGGATATTAAATTTTTTGAGGAAAATTTTAAAATACTGTACCACAGGTACACTATACAGTATATAGTATACAGCACCACAGGAATAACTAGTTTGAGATAGTTCAGTTTCAAAAATTGTGCCATTCCTTTCAGTGACTCCTATTTTTTCTAAACCTGGATTTTCAAATGATGGAAAAAATACTTGCACAAAAGGAAATGTTTAATCTGATTTCAAGGGCTGTGTTGTGCAATGACTAAGCTGCATACATTCCATTAAGTATTCATGGCTGAGTGAAATAAAAATACTTTAAAATTTTGCACAAGACTACTAATTTGTTAGGCCATACCTTGGCTACCTAAACTTATTTAAAACATCAAATATTTTTTGGCCTCAGGTTGCCCTTTGTTAAAATAACTGAGATTTAAAAAAAGAAATTGCACCGTGAACTGTGAACCTCTTATCACATCTTCTAGTTGTCTTAATACATTTATTACTCAGAGGTGATTAACAGTTTTTGATAAGGTGATCTTCACATTATAAAACAGAACATAGGTTTCTACAAACTAATTACTTTTTAAAATCTAACTTCACCCAACAAAGGCTATCATAAAACACCAAAGACATTACTAGTTCTCTTTCACATATTCAAGTTGATTTACTTTCTACTGACCTGGGCTTTTTATTAATTACACACTAAAAAAAAAAAGGCTATCTCAAAAAATTAAAAAATTAACCAGAGAACAATTTAGTGAAAACTGTGCAAAGAGAGCAACAGAAACACAACTACTTATAAAAGGAACCACTGCTGTAAGATTTGTGGCAGTAAAAATTATGAAGCATTTAAAAATACAGCATTAACATGTTTAAACAGCCTGGAGCAATGAATGGAAAAAACAAATTGATACTAAAATTATTTTAATATACAATCTGCACAGTCCATATGAAGCACATCTTACAGATTTTCCACACTAAAGCATTTGAAAACACCCCAGAATCTGACTTAATATCCAACTGTTAACATATATAAAAAAGATTGGTCAGACGATTTTAACTAAGCATGAAGATAAACAATATATACATGTATGTATATTTAGTGACTAACTCAAATAGATTCATTTACTCTAAATGTCTAATTTACAGAAAAAACCCCCATTAGACAATTTCACAAAAGCCAATCACCACTTTACAGTGTTATATTAAAACAGATTATAAGTGTTCCTGATGATAATTTGGAGGAGCTAAAAAGTAAATGGTAACATTCCAGTATACAGTAATGCAAGCTCAAATTTTAATCTTATTAAATTTTTGTTGAGAAAGACACATTGCAATCTGAAGCACTATGATTAACATTACACTAGAACTTATTCTTAAATTTCTGGGAATCATCACTGCTGGCTAAATTTTTAAAAATGCTCAACAGATCTGGGAACAGAACAGGCAGAATGACTGAAATATACTAAGGAGCACATGAGGGAGACAAGAGACGGTGCCATGTGGGTCACCTCCCTGGATCTAATTTATGCTGCAGTGGCTGCAAATAGCCTCACAGTGGTGCATTTTAACCACCAGGGAGGGCTCTAAACTCCTTGCTCTTAAATACAAATTCTGTATATCCATGGGTAAAATTATAATTGATTTATCCTCACTGTTTAACTTTTTATAAAAATGAAGGTGAACTCGTTAATTAAAAATGCAAAACAAACTGGTTACTATAGCATAGTTTATTTAATACAATGTTTAACTATAAAAGTTGATACAGTTTAGAAGTTTAAATTCTGTAAAATGCAGTTTGCCGAAAACAGTTCAACAATTACTAATAAGAGAAGCAATTGAAACTAATTATACAACTGCAACAACAGCTTTATTCCTAAATTTTATTAAAAAAATATACATCACAGTGACTTTTGAGCTAGGAAAAGAAGTGCATCAACTTCATTTGCTTTTCCCTTCCACAGAGCAGCCACTTTTTAACATTCCCATGTACAAATACCCAATCCATTTCTCAATCCTTCAAAACATCATAAACACACAAAAGAACAAAATATACAGCATATGCTTTTAGTAACAGGAATTAAAAAAAAAAATAGAAACACAAATCAATACCACCACTGCCTTCTGAACCTAGCACACAAAAACCCTCAAAACCAAAAACCATCAATCTGATGAAATTTATTTTTCTTTGCCTGGATCTTTTAAAGGCCAATGTTAGAAAGCCCATGATATGCAGGTTTTATCAGCTAATGCTGCATTTTCTGGTGTATTTATTAAGTTTTTAAACAAGTGTTTGTAACAAAACATCTTTTCACAATAAACAAGTCATATCCTGCAATCCTTGGAGTTTATTCAACTGTAAATACTAAGCTAATTAATTATAGTAAACACAACCAAAAGGAGACCAAAAATACCGATTTCACATTTCTTTATTAACAACTATATGGTGTATATAAAGTACCTTACCTTCTGGTGAAGGCTAAGGGAACAAGTTTCTACAGAAATTTTACTATAAAAGGTTCGAAGTGATGAAAAAAATTATCACCTGTAGTGAAGGACAAGAGGCTACTAAAAAACATACAAACTTGTTCCACATATTAACTTGAAAACAAGTTAGAAATGTCAGTTAACACCAATACTCAAAATACCAGAAACTCAATCTGTTCTGGTCTGTAGTATTTTTACATTTTAATTTTGTATTTCCCAATGTTCACAAGAATCAAAGGCCATTCAGTAAAAGTTAATCTGAAATCAGTTATCATACTTATGCAAAGATGACTTCCTACACAATCTTTTTGAAGCTTCTGTGAGGGTATTGCTTAAGGGGAATTATGAAAATACAGTGCTCTATGAATTCAGTAACTATAGAGAACTTAAAAAGTTTTAAAACAATCCAGTAGCTTCACTACTGCTCATTAACATTAATCTCCCTGTAGCATCAATTTCTGTGGCAGATCATTTACACAGAAAAAGAATTCACTTGAAATAATAATCATGAAAAAAAATGATCAAATGTCAATCAAGCAATTGAAAACAAACCAACTGAAATACCTTTAAGAGGAATTTAGGTGAACAACATGCAAGTAAACTGTAAGCTCAGACATAAGTATAATACCAACTTCACAGAGTATTTCCTTTTTATAAAAATAATTATGTTCAAAGTAACAAGATGGCACAATTATTAAAAATGTAAAGACTTTAGAGCCATGTGCTATTCAGATTTCAGGTACGGTTAATGCTGTTCAGTAATTTTCCAAATGTACTTTGTATTTTGAAAATAAAATCCAGCTGATTGTCATCTCAATTCTTTCATCACATCTGTCCTATAAAAACAACTCACAAAGCTTATTTTAAAAGGCCTATCAATAATGCTTAGTATGAAGTTTTTCTTTTGATAACCAAAAGAGGAAATTACTACTTATAGTAATTAGTTAAGTTTTTTTTATACCTATGGTTGCTTATCTATAATTCTTAGTTGATAAAGCTCTGGGATCACACAACAAAGAAAGATTTTTTTACTTAACATGGTTTTAAAATTTTTAAATGTAATTGTTATTACAAACCCTCTCAAATAGCACCTTTCTTGAAGCTCAAATAATTTTTATCAAAGACCTTTAAAAAGCTCTTCACTGGATTTGAGATTAAATAATAATGTTTAAAATATACAACAGATTATACAACTTGGGCACTCAGGATTCACTTTATTCCTAAGGTGAATCTGTGGTCAAAATTTCTTAAGAAATTGATTACATATGATTATAATATGCATCTCTAATCATTCAGGAAAAAAATTTGGGAATACTGTGCATATTTCTTTTTTCAAGATGGTCCAATCAGTCTTAAAATTATTACCCTATTCATTCTGCAAACAGCTACTACAATGTCCAATCTAACATTACTGCATTAATTTATAATGGGAAGTATGATGTTAAGCATTACTTTGCTCAGCACAAAACAGCATTAAATAGCTACTGGGTTTACCAAGAAACTACCTTGGTAAGAATTGACACTATACTGACAAATATTAAAGTACAAAACACTGTTGAGGCTACTATTAATTGAAATTCTGAAATCTCTTTTCAAATGAGGCAGGTTTTGTGTTTGCTGGATGTTCAATATTTTATTTAGAAGAGAAATTACAGAATAAAAGGCCACACATCACAAAAATTGCAATATACAACACACAAAATTCTAAATGGACTTTGGGTATCTTTAGTGTTTAACTCTGTAAGCTATCAAATTTTGTTAACTTTCTACTCTATGTGATAATGTTATACATGCCAAGTTAAAATAATGTTAACAGTAATGGTAAAAAGCCACCTGAATAGAAAGAAACTAGATTCATAAACATGCTACTGCCTATTGTGATACATATATAGAAAAGATGCATTTATTTGCTGTTTGAAACACACAGCTATGAGAAAGCTCAAGTTAGAAGAAAAACAAAACCATGCAGAGTTAATATTCAACTCTCTATAGTCAGTGGCCAAAAAAGAGAAATCCTGGAAGTTAATGTGTGAATAGTAACACTTTTTAGGATCTATCTAACTTAAAGACCTACACAAGTAGTCTTATAGAGAAAAGTAATTTTTGATTTTAGAGAAGGGTAATAATAAAACTGTTCTCCCAAAGCAAGTTTCACCTGTTCAGACCAAAAGCAAACACAAAATTGAGAATTAAGAGTCTCATCTTCCAAGGTCTAGTTCTTGCCAAATGCTGTATAACAGCAAGTCAAGCTCAATCAGACATCAACTGGAAAAACAAACAAAACAAATAAAAAACAACACTCAACTATTTTTATTGTCAAGTAAAATTAATCTGGACAGGAGAAATACCAATATGAAACAAGCTATGGGCAGAAGTAATAAGGAATAACACATGAAGTACAAATATAAATAACTAAATATATATTTTTAAAACACAAATTACTATAAAATCAAAAGTGATGATTTAAGATCTCAAGTTATTAAGGATCCCACTTCTGCATAATTAAAGCCGCTGCTGCAAGCCTCTATAATAATGCAATCACAAAATCTATACAAGATTTCTTCTACCTAGTGGCTTCTATAGTTACTTTAATCATGAAAAACACAATCTTTTATAACAATGTATTACAACAATCAGTTATGCTGTTTCCAAATGACTGATCACACAAATAGGACACAGAATAGCATGCCTGCTATTGGCTGATTGTTGCAACACAAAAATGCATACATGGAACAGTTAAACACAGCACACACTATTACACCAAAGTGTTTTTCTCATTTCAAGTTTATTAAAACTTTAGTAGTACAAATTATCCAGGTTGCAGATTATCAAAAGAATAAAGTCCACATTAAAAAAAAAAAAAAGACAAACATAAACAACTCAAAAACAATGAAAAGAGGAAATAAAACGTAAAGGAGATATCATTGCAAGTCTCTAAAACTTAAAATTTGAGACAGAATGGAAACAAGAAGTTTATACAACTCACTCATCCACTTTTGTCTTCATCTGTTCCAGGGCTTGATTCATGATCAAATTTTTTACTCTTATCATGTACATGGTCATTTTCTTGACCCTTTGATTTTTGGTTTTCTTTTTCCACTGAGGATCTGGTCTTCTCATCCTCCTTATTTTTCAATGTGGAGAACTTTAATTCATTGTCCTGACTACTTTGTTTTATTTTTGAGAATGGACTTTGATCTCTATCAGCCTTTTTCCCCCTGTCATTATTTGAGCTATTATGATCACGATTTTTAGAGTACATTCTTTTCTCACTCTCAGAATTTTCTTTTCTGTGTGAACTCTTACTTTCTTGGTTTCTGTATCTTTCTTTGTTTCTACTTTGACTTTCTTCTCTTTCTGAACTCCGCGAATCTCTCCTCCTCCTCCTCCTATCTTTACTTCTTGATCTTCCTGGTGTTGTTCTTCTCTCCCGGCTTCGTGACCTTCCTCTTCTCCTGTATTCCTGTTCTCTGTATCTATGGTACTCCTTGCTTCTGCTGCGATCTCGGTCGTGGCTTCTAGACCTCACTCTTCTGCTCCTGTCCCTACTTCTGCTTCTTTCCCTTGTTCTACTATTGTAACTGTGCTTGCCTTTAGTTATGTCACGTTCTCTACTCCTAGATTGCGCACGTCTATCTTTTTCCTTACTTTTATTATGATCATACTCATTACTTTTTGACTCTAATTGTTTAGATTTCTCTTTACTTCTACTCCTTTCCTCATCTTTTCCTTTAGAATCAGATTTTTCTTTTTCTTTAATAGTCTCATGATCCCTTTCTTTACTCCTGGACCTCATCCTTTTATCTTCATGTCTATTATGCTTTGTATCTCTTTCCTTACTCTTTGATTTCTCTTTGCTCTTACTTCTGCTTTTAGATTTAGCCCTTTTCTTCATCTTGTTTTTATTATACTTATCATCTTTTTCTGAATTTCTTCTGATGTCTCTCTCTTTACTGTTAGATTTATGATCTTTAACTTTCTTTTCCTTTTCACTTTTTCTGTTTGGACTCTCAGACACATGACTGTAATCAGTTATTTTTTTTTCTTTTACTCTAACTGGACTTCTTTGATTTTCTTTTACTTCATTTAACTCACTCCTAAAAAAATAGGGGGAAAAGTTTGGGAAATTTTACTAGTGAAAGAACAATGTCCATTATGAACCAAAATAACATTCTATTTTTTGTAAAGATACTCAGAAAAACTGAAAATACAAACTTGTAAAACAAAGTACTTGACACTACACTTGAAATAATAAAGTTAAATCTTACTTATCCCCTTTGATCCATCTTTCACCACTTGACACCCTCATTCTTTGAGCTCTCTGCATCTCTTGCCTCCAATGTGGAGGAGTCTCACTACGTCTGAAACGATCCCTTGATCTGGATCTCGAAGGAGTTCGGTAACGCTTAAGAAAATAGAAAGGGGAAAATATTAACAGAAAACTATAAAAGCATTATTAACAACAGCTATGTTCAAGTAAAATATCTAATATTTATGTTCTCTAATTTAAATTTTCTAGTTTTCAGGTAGGAAATCAATGAAACATAAAAACTTGAGACCGTTAAGTTTCAAATAAGAAACATTAACAAAAGAAAATCTGTCCACCCAGCCACATGTTCTATTTAAGAGATGCTAGAGAATATAATCGTGTGATACCGCTTACCAGTTGTCAAGTTCCAATTTAGAAATATGTATCCTTAGTTTCATATTATAAGAAAAACTGAATTGATGAATGTATGCTTATTTATTGACACCATATTTATTCAGCTCTTCAGATAGCAAACTATTCTACCATACTGAAGAAACATTAAGCCAAAACAGCTGATTTTGCTCTTGGAACTTATATTCTCAAGGAATTATATTCTAAATGACAGATAATATAACCATAAATATTAAGCAAAAAAGGTAGCTACAATCAGACTAAATGTATAAAGGAAAGAAGTTATTTTGTGCTTTATATACAACAATGAGATCTGACTCAATATGTGTAGAAGGTGTGAAGAGTTAAATAATTAAAACCTGGTAACTAAAGCATATGTATAAGGAATTACTTAAGCAAGGTCAGAAAAGAGTTAATCTATGACCAAAGTATATTTTCCCATTTTCCAATTCTTTGACTAATTTTTTTTTTTCACTGTACAGGTGAAAAAAAATTGTTAGGTTTATTCTTAGGTACTACAGATTTTTGCATATTGATTTTATAGTCTGCCATTTTACTGTGTCAATATAGTTTTCAATGTTTTTTTAAGTGGAACTTTAGAATTCTCTTAGTAAATTATCATGTCAGACTCTCGTTTTTAAAAGACCACTCTGGATACTGTTTAGAAAAATAATTAGGCCAGTGATTTTAAAGGTGTGGGCTAGGGATTGCAAAACTCAAAAGGATTTGTGAGATCAAAACTATTTTTATATTGTTACATTATCTGTCCTTCTTACATACATTATCATAAATTAAAATTTTCAGAGATCCTAAGACACAGAAGTTGGAGACCTACCATAAGAAGTTAGGTTATAATTCAGAGAAAGCATTAAGAATTAACTGAATTAAGATGGCAAAAGCTTGAAAGAAACAAATTTTAGAATAGTTAAAAGGTAGAACTGACAATTTCATGGGTAAGACAAGTAAGACAGAAAAGAAAGGAAGAACATAATTCTTGGGTTCAGTTCAGATTTGTATATCTGCATTGGTGGTTATGTCTGTTACTGAAATCATGCAGCTAAAAAAAGATCAGGTGTGAAGAGAACATGACAAGTTTTAACATGTCTACTAGGTGATTAAATAGCAGTTGAACGAGCCTTTGGGGCCAAAAGGGCAGAAAATTTGACAATTACCAGCTTACATGCCTTGGAAGTAATGAGATTGCACAAGAAGTATATGATACACTACCATACTTAAAGGCTAGGGAGGTTATCAGCTGGCCTTAGAAATTCAAAAGAGACTGGCCAGAGGGATATTAAAAATATATATAATGGAAGCATAGAGGAACTATTATTAGGAGATTAAATAAGACAAACACTGAAAGGATCCACTGATTTTGTGCTCTGCAACTGACCATATAGCAAATATAACTTTAAGTAGAATGGCAGACAGTAAAACAAAATTTAAATTCTTTAGGAAGAATCTAGTAAAGAGGGAGAATGAAATATAAGAATAGGATCAATTTTCATTTACTAGTTTGTAACAAGAGTAGTGAGTGATATAATGGCTAGGAAGAAATAAGATACACAACAGACCGCAATTTCCCTTTTTACAATGTACAAGGTAAAATCCATTAATATTCCACAAACTTTCAGTTTGGAAGTACCAGCACAAATAAGTTACTATAAAAACAGAACATAAAATTCAACATCTATTTTAAATTTTAGGTAATTTAAAGTAAGACAATACTTAAGGAAAACTACAATTTAATAATTTAAGATAAATACAAAACTAGTAAGATTTCTGGAATAGTTATCACCTACCCTTGGTCCTCTTCCTTTAATTTTTCTGCCAGACCTAGTAACTAAAAGTCGTCTCTGGTATGAAGCAGGTTGGGAGTTAGGTGGATTACTAGGAGAAAGCAAGTTTAAATTAAAACACATTATTTTATAAAAGTGAATCTAGAGAGTAAGCTTTACTGATCCAAACTGAGAGACTTAAAAGTCTTTAATATAGAAGTCAGTGGTTCTTAATAGGAATGTTATCAATTCTTAGTATTTGTAAAAGTACGGGAGTCTTTTTTTTTCATCTTTTTCAATTGTACTTGACTATTGGTATTTGGGGTTCTTGAGCTAGGAACGCTAGAATCTAACGTTGTGTAAGGATGAAGGACTATTTTCCACCAACACACCAATTGTGTCCTGTTAAGAAACATTATTCACAGTTAAGTGATCACATCATCAGTTAATTGATGATGCTAGGAAAAATCAACATAGAAAAAAACTTTAAAAAAAATCAACATAGCGAATATGCTGGCAAGAGAGCAAGTCTTAAAACTATTCTATTCCAAGGCACCTTACTAGCCTATAAATATAGTTGTTCACTGGCATTAAAACTATATAGACATGCAATTAATATGAATTAAACAGCAACAGGGTGGTCTGAATTAACAAATATTTTTATCAGGTTTTTACAAAAAATGGAAACCATTTGCAATCAAATGATTTAGTATTTACTACACACATTAACAACACCCATGTGATTTAATGCATACACATAACTCAGTAAGGAACCAACTGACTTTAAATGAAATTCAAAATGCCATTTAACAATGTTTTTGGCATTTGCAGTGTATATTTTTTAGAAGAGTAAACTTAAAATTTGAATTATTTCTTGGAGCTTTGCTAATTTTATCCTACAAAGCAGATGATCATAATCTTGGGAAAAGATCACCAATGAAATCTTCAGTAAAAGAAGTAAAAACTTAAAAAATAAGACTATCGTATGAAGAATATAGGGCACACTACAAGATATGTACATATACATACCATTCTCTCTCTCGCTCTCTCTCTCTGTTTTTCCTTTCTTTTTCATCAGCTTTAGGAGGACTTTTTCTCATTAGGAACCTATTTTCAGGTATAGGAGGGATCTCTTCTGGACGGACAGTAGACTGAGGTTGTGCTTCAAGATTTTCAGCCTCACTTTCACTGGATGCACTTAACAGAAATACACAAAACAAATCCCATTTGGTTATTATGTATTGCCAATGTCAAATTTCCAATAATTTCTTTCTTTTATATATGTCATAGCACATATATACCATCTTTGTATTCCACATCCTCCTAAAATGTGATTACATGCGAAAAAGTTTCCTTCCCCCAACAAATTAACCAACTCAAATGCAACTGATTCTGTTATCAATTCTCAAAAATTTTTCCAATAAAATAAATCCAAAATGTTAAGTGTCCATGGGACAGATTACTTTAGATAAAATGAACAGAAATATGTTGACACAAAAGTAAAGTGAATAAAAAACAAGAAAATAAGAAAACAGCAACTGTTTCCTATAAATTTCACAATTCTGTGACCTTCCCGTGTAATACAAACCTCAAAAACCAAAAATATCATTTCACTGAGTACAAATAAAATAGTGAACAATTCTGTTGAAAATGACAATAAATATCTGCCCCAATATAATCTACAAATTATAGAATATTAAAATGGTCCTGTAGCTCATGCTATAAAGTAGTTCTTATTATTTGAGTGTTCCTATATAACTGATTCAAAATCCGAATATACTCATTTATAGATATAAGGGAATCCAACTATAAAGCAAGTACTATAAAAGTGAAATTAAGACCTTTTCTTGCTTTTCTTTCGCTTCTTCTTTTCCTTCTTGTGTTTTCGGGAATTTTTCCTATGTTTCTTTTTTCTTTTTTTTGATTTCTCTTCAGAAGCACTTTCAGAATCAGAAGAATCAGAAGAAGATTGAGAATCACTTGAGCTATCTGAGTCACTAGATGATGATGAAGATGATGATGAAGATTTATGCCTTTTCTTTTCTTCTTTTTTAGCTTTGATAAAAACAAAAATATTTAGTTTAACACCTTTGAGTCAAAATTTTAAAGTTGAAATTTAGATCTTCCACAGATTTTAAGTCTAATATTTAATACTTAGTACATCCAGGTATGAACTTGGCGTATAAGACCTTTAAAGAGTCAAGAGTGTGTATTAGAATCTAGATCTCTAAATTCATGTATCTAAATTTTATCTATTGAGCCAAAGAAAATCTGGAAATGTAACAGATTAAGTCTAACACTAAACTAAGTCGATTTTATGAAACATTTGAGTAACAAAGGTTTTTAAGAATATAAGAGTAATACTTGAATTGAAGAGTCACAATTGTAATCTGCCTGTAATTTTTTAAACTTTTCTCATATATAAATATGGGAGGTAGAACCAGAAATGAGATGTTATATAACAAATACTTTTCATGAATGTGGAAACATTCATGTTATTATGTTATTATGTTTCAATTGCCTGATCATTCTGCTAATGAATAGGAAGTTAAGCTTGCGTTGAGGCGCAGACTTACAGCACAAGATAGTGATTAATAACTATGCCGGTGTGTACAAAATAATCTCAAGGCCCTCCCTGGTGGCCCAGTGGGTTAAAGCACAGCACAGCACTGAGAAGCTAAAGCCACCTCCATATGAGTTGGATTCCCGCCTGCCCCAAAGGTGATTAGATGGCCTGGCAGACCTCTCCTGACCCGCCCACTGCTCCCCTCAGCAGTGTACTTCATAGATCTGCCTGTTCTGCTCCCCACTGTCTCTGGTGAAGCCTCTCACCGCCCCTGAGCCTCTGGCCTGTACCTCAGTACTGTATGCACAAATAAATAAATCTTTAAAGAAAAAAAAAAGTTTTAAAATGTTTAAAAAATAATAATAATCTCAAATAGAAATTTTAATTTGTGGTAAGCTAAAGCCACTTCAGCATGAGTTGGATCCCTGTCCCGCCTGGAGGTGACCCACATGGTGCAGCAGACCTCTCCTGACCGGGCTGCTGCTCCGCTCAGTAGTGTACTTCATCAGTCAGCCTGTTCTGTTCCCCACTCTGTGTCTGGTGAATCCTCTCACTGTCCCTGCACTCTGGCCTGTACCCCAGTTCTGTACGTATAAATAAATCTTAAAAAAAAAAAGTAGTAATTTTAAAAGAAATCCAAAAACTTACATGTTTTATAGACTATGTAACTAACATAAATAAGTGAAATTAACTAGGTGTAACAAAACAGGGCTGGGGGAAATAGTATAATAGTATATATTGACCCATTTAAATCACACCATATTTAAAAGCTGAATGGATCCCAGAAGTATTGGCTTCACTGAACTACAGCAATCCTTCCTTACCTCAGGACCAGGAACACATCAAGAATGAGTTACCTATGACCTGTGCAAGCTATATCTGAACATAGCTTGCTATACAAATTGTGGTATTATCTGCCCAGAATCAATTTAGTCCTGGGTAGAGCCTTAACTTGTCTGACAAGTCTAAATTTAATCTAAAACCAAAGATCAATGTAATTAGTTTCCAAAATGGTCATACAAACATGTATAAATTGAAGAATCTACTTGTACATACTAAAAGCCTGAGGGATTGCAGGGGAGGGAAGAAAATCAAACATCAAGAAATCCAAGGAAGAAAATTTATTAATAATGAATGTGACTAACTAAATAAAAAACTTGAGATCACAATATAAAAAGCAAGGAAAAAATATTCCTCATAGGGGAAGAAGAGTTTGATTAAACAGAGGAGGGAAGAGCACAGGGGTCTGTGGTGGTGGGAGATTTATGGGGACCTATTCATTTATAGCACCAAAATGAATAACATGTAAGAAAAATAAATTAATTTTAAAAAATTAAAAAATATTCCTCATAAACACAATACAGAGCTGTTACAACTATTTGACAAAACATAGGAATGCTTAACATGGTTAGCCATAATTAACAATGCTGTATTCACCAGTTTCCACTTGTAAGAGATGAGAAATATACAGCAGTAAGTTACTTAAATAACATCCACGCTCCCCACCATGTATTAAATATATTGCACATGACCATTACTTGATCTGTGTGCCACTTTTGAAGAAGATATGATTGAAACAAGACATAATATAATATGAAAGGCCAGAAAGAGTTATAACAACTTTTATGGTAATATTATCCACCTGAGTGTAAGATGATACCAACTAAAAAAAGAAAAACTTTTTTTTTGGTAGGAGTTTTAGGGAATAAGTTTTAGAAGAAAGCTTAAGTTTCTAAGGTTGAGGACCCTCCCTGGTGGTGCAACAGCATAAAGCACAGCACTATGAAGCTAGACACAGCTAGCTCAAGTTCCATCCTCTACCAGGGAGGTGTTCTGACAGGACGTGGCAGCCCTCTCCTGCCCTGCCTGCTGCTCCGCTCAACCATGTGTTTCGTTGATCTTCCTTTCCTGCACCCCACTCTGTCTCTGGTGAATCCTCTCATTGTCCCTGCACCTATGGCCTGTACCCCCGGTCTGTATGCATAAATAAATAAATAAATCTTAAAACAACAACAGAAAAACAAACCTTGATTTGGGAAGTTGAAAATTACATTTAAAAAAAAATTCTAAGGCTGAAAATTCCCTTCCTTTGATGTTTATCAATACCATTATATGAGTGTAATTTTATTTAAATTAAATTTTTCCTATGAACCAGTACAGAAAAAAAATTTTTTAAAGTTAAATAGAAAAATAAAAAGCAAAAAAAAAAAAAACAAAAAAAAACTGAGTCATAATAGTATCAATTCCAACAGAATGCAATAGGCTTGAACTTCAAAATCTTTGTTTACCTAAATTATGATTTAGGCATACTGTGACTTTGAAAAATTTATCTACAGTTTTATCTTCCTAGAGTCAACAATTATGTTTAACTGAACATTATAAAGATACAGCTCAAAATATAAACACTTAAGCAACAAATTTTACAGAAAAACCTTTATAAGTAGATTTAGAAGTAAATATGGTTAATTAGGGGGAAAAAATAAAGTAGAAAGGTTTAGGGGAATTATAATTAGTCCTGTTGTTAGGAAATTTAGGTGTTCCTATAAGTCACTGGGCTATGAAAAATTGCAAATAAAAACCATATAGCTGGGCCCTCCCTGGTGGTACTACGGGTTAAAGTGCAGCACCACAAAGCTAGCCACAGCCACTTCAGTGCCAGTTGGATCCCCGGCCCTGAAGGTGATCCACATAGCACAGCAGACCTCTCCTGTCTCACCCACTGCTCTGTTGTGGGCAGTGTACATCACTGATCTGCCTGATCTGCTCCCCACTCTGTCTGTAAAAGACGAATCCTTTCACTGTCCCTGCACCTCTGGCCTGTACATTAGTTCTGTACGCATATAAATATAAAAAAAAAGAAACATCTGGATCAAAAAAATAAAGAAAAATAAAATAAAAACCATATAGCTTATGGTAAAGGGGTAACTTCACCTGTGACACATCAAAAAAAAAAAAAGGAAATAAAAATGACAGTAGAGTGCTATATATATAAAATGGCTAAGAAATATACAACAATAAATGTATCACTTTGCTTTGAAATAGGACCTGGAGACTTACAGAAGTTCAAGTCAGAAGGGCTACAGTTTGTGAGCTACTTTAAAGTGACCTGAAGTTAAATGGGAAGTTTTAGCTGCAGATTGTGCATTGTATGTATAGGTATAGTTTCTAACACAAATGATGATGGCAACTTAGTAGATCTTTAATTTGTGTGCATGTAACAAACACTATGTTAATGAACCTCCCTTGTGCAGGTGCCTTGGTGTCTCAGTGCTATCATGCTATTACTGCAGTGGCCTAAGTTCGATCTGTGGCTAGGGTGCTAGCCCATATAGGGTGCAGCAGATCTCTCCTTTTTCTCCTCCTGTCTCCTTAGCAGTGTATTTCAGTGGATCTACCTGTTCTGGGGAATCCTCACCCTTCCTCTCCCTGCCAACCCCCGCGGCCTACATCCCAGTTTGTCAATGAATAAATAAATCATAAAAAATGTTTTAAATATTTATTCCTATGCAGCTGTTGAATGTCCTATGCAGCACATTTTCAAAATAAGCAGTATGGCTGATCTGACTATATCAGAATCTAATGGGCAGAAAAAGTAGTGGGAGAATAGTATTGGAGAGAACTTACAAAGTCCTAATAAGTACTGCTAAAAGCCTTTTTATATATGTACAATTAAAAAAACTGAATTGTAGTGACCCTACAATTGTGAGTCACAACACTGTATGTGACTCACAGGCATAGGAGCACATGTCCTCAGATTAATGTCACTACGCCCACCATCAAAACACCAATAGTTTTATGGGTATAATTTAAAGGTGAGTAAATTTTGGATTTAAAAGGGAGAACATTTTTCATATAGGTGAAAATTTTGAAGAAAGAAATGGAGCAACTCTGGATAAGATGGACTAAATTAATCTCTCCCTACAACCTAAAGTATAAGCAGAAACTCCAGATAAAATACAAAAGAAAGAAAAACAAAAGTAAACTGAAAGAAAGATGGCAGTGTAGTCAGGGACCTCTATATTTGAATGGTGGTTTTCAATTTGCCTCCCATATACCCTAGACTTCACATGCAACTCAGAAAAGACACAAAATGGCACAAATTTTAAAATGTCCCCTCCCTCTTATGACCCCCCCCCCCCAAGCTTCCCTTCCCTAAAGGGCTGGAAAAATATGGCTTGGCAGGACAAAATTTGTTACCAACACCTCTCTACTATAAGCAAATATCAAGATGGTGGGTAGGGGGTGGGGTGGGGGAGCCACCCCATATGGCTATAACAGCAAAAACAAAGTAGGAAACACAGACTTCCATTACCTCTGTCTCACACTATCACAATCTACTGCCCTGTGAGGGAAGGAAGCACTTTTGTCCCTTCCCTTGCCAGAGTAAGGTCACTGGAGACGAAGTGAAAAAGCCTGGGCTTGACACAACAGTGACTCCCCATGCCATGCCCTGCCCTGCAATGCCAGGTGACAAGAATGTCAGAGATGGAGATGGAAAGACTTTTTACATATATGAATATGAAGTTGTAGGCAGACCCCCAAAGTGAAGCTAACCAGAGTTAATATGGCAAAAGGTTTCAGAATTAAGCTAGTGTTTCAAAAAACCCTATGCCTCCTTTCTAACTGCTTACAAAAGAATCTATTTCCAAGTATTTTTACAAGCAAATAAGCATACTTAAGCTAAAATGAATCACACTAAAGTAAAACTACAATGCAAGAATTTTAGAATAAAAAGAATTACGAAGACTAACTTCTTTTTTTATTTTTAAGACTAACACCTCTGGCTTACGTCATTTGTACTTAGTTTATTTTATTTATATAGTCTATCACTATGCAAAAGAATTTCCCAAACCTGTTTATTGACTTATTTTAGGATTCTCCATAAAAATCTAGGGTTTGCTGAGCTTTCTCTGGTGGCACAATGATTTAAAGCACTGCATTATGAAGCTCTCTGAAGCTGCTGCAGCATGAGTTTGACCCCCGCCAGGGAGCTGACCCACATGGTGTGGCAGACCTCTCCTGACCCGCCCACTGCTCCCCTCAACAGTAAGATGTATTTCAGTATCTGCCTGTTCTGCTCCCCACTCTATCTCTGGTAAATCCTCTCACCCATCATACCCCTGGCCTGTACCCCAGTTCTGCAAGCATATATAAATAAATCTAAAAAAAAAAAAAAAAATCTAGGGTTTGCTGCCTAAGTCTTTTTTGAGACCTATATAGATTTTAATACCAATGAATTTCATGTGAAATATTTCTATTGAGGTCATCATCAAGCAAAACTTGAAATAAAGAATTAATCCTACAATGGGTCTCCTCCTTCTTAGATATTTTCATGTTACTAGGCTACTACTCCTCCACACAGTTTTCTAAACTAACAGCCCACTATTTTCCAGGAAAAGGATCTTCATTGTGGCTCTTAATTTCAGAGTATAAGAACAGAGAAATGGAATCCTGTTAAAACAGATAGGAATTTCTAGAATTCTTCACTGTTCCCTAAGTACAAAATTCACTAGCTGCTTCCTCGATTGTACTTTTTAAAATATATTAACAGGTTATCTGTTTCCTAACACACATTTGCAAAACTTCTCACAGAGCTATATATGGCTATGTTGCCACAACAGCAATTGGTTTTCTATATACTTTGTGATATAGCAATGGCCCCATCTCTTGCTGCATGGCCAAGGTAGACAGATTTTTAACAACTGCAGTGAACTCTGAAAAGACCATCATGACCTGAAGTGAGTCTACAACTGAAAAATCAAGAAATACATTAATCAAAGTAGTGGTTTCATCACTGTCGGGGCCTATCACTTACTCTGCCCCTAGGGAAAAGCAGATTTTGTTAGCCTTCAGTATTCCACCTCTGCATCTACTGTAAAGTTAATATGCTTGATTCTGAACTGCCTCAGGCACATTCAAATAGCCATCAAAAAACAAAACAAAACAACACAAAACCATGAAACAAACAGAACAAACCCCAGTTTTTTCTATCTTGCAAGAGCAAAGGGAGAAAGGCCCAAGGGGACTGCTCTAGACTCACCAAAACCATATACAGGGGTGGGGGCCCAGACAGATTTCTTCAGAAGTCTTTTTGTTTTCTTTCAGGAAGTTAGAAAAAGAAAAAAAGATTCTGCATTTATTTCTTTTTAAACTAAGGTGTAAACCATATTTCAAACATGGTTTAAATATGATGATGAATACCACAATGTTGAACAAAGCTTTCAGACTATTCCCAGTTCAAAGGTCTTATTAGGAGATTATTAAACTTATGAATTAGCTGTAAAACACAGCTCTGCCTAAAAAGTTACATCAATGCATCAAAAAATCCATTCTGACCGATATTCTAATAGTAACTGACAGACTACAGGGTAACAGTTGTCGAACTGTATAATCTCAAACACAAAGGTCTTTGTGTGATCCAGAACAGAAGAGGCATGGCTTAAAACACATCTGATAGTTTCAGGAACATCTAGGCAAACACTGAAAGCAGACAAATGTCTCTCAACTGTTGAAATGGATACATACAGGCAAGGTATGCTAGCTTAGTATAAGTTTAAGGAATGTGGCCAAGATGCTACAGGAACTTTCAAGAAAACTTCATGGCCATAATCTCATGAGCAAAATTAGCACGTACTTCTTTTGATGAAAATACATAATATAAAGACATAGATAGTAGAAAAGAGTGATATTCATTCATTTCCTTATCCTTTATTGTAAAAAAAATTTTTTTTTTATTAATTTGTGCATACAGAACTGGGGTACAGGTCAGAGGCTCAGGAGCGGTGAGAGGCTTCACCAGAGACAGAGCGGGGAGCAGTGGGCGGGTCAGGAGAGGTCTGCCACGCCATGTGGCCACCCCCGGCAGGTGGGAATTGAACTCATGCCGAAGTGGCTTTCGCGTCTCAGTGCTGTGCTTTAACCCGCTGCGTCACCAGGGAGGGCCTATTGTAAAATTTTTAATTATTTTCGCACAGAGGAGAATAGGGAATGTAGATCAGAGGTGCAGGGAATGAGAGGATCACCTGAGACATGAGTAGGGAGCACATTAACCAGATCTACTGAAACACACTGCTGAGGGGTGCAGTGGGTGAAACAGGAGAGGTCTGCTGCACAATGTATGTCAGCTCCCTGGTGGGGTACAGAAACCTGGCTACTTTGCTATGGAGGGACATTTGTGGTAGTAACGCTGAGATACACTAGTTTTCTTTCTTTCTTTTTTTTTTTTAAAGATAATCATCAACATTTTATTCTTTAGGAGTTTTCACAAAACAAGACATACTTTATGTCATTTTAAAATAAGTTACAGATGGTCAGATTCCTGAACACTAAATTAAATAATAGCCCCTTTATAATTTATAGCATCTCTATAAGTGGTCACATGTTATATATTTGATATAACAGAGAAGAATATTAAATCATCAGCATTAAAGTGGAATGCAGACAGAAAACTAGAAATAAGCTGCCACTATGCCTATCTTGGTTCTTTTAAATTAGAACAAAATGTTTTTGATTTCTAAATGCTACCAAGTAAATCAGTTAGATTATCTAAAACTTGAGCTAAAGAATATTCTATCTTAGACCAATTCTGAAAGGTATGTTATAGACATTTAAATTTCATGAGTTAGCAACACATAATAAAAAAAGCTCCAGATATGGAGCCAGCAAGCATGCATAAGGTCTGGTTTCCTAAAGTGGCAAATAAACTAATCTCACTTCTCTTCATCTGTAAAATGAAGAAAATATACCTACAGAGCTATTATTATTATTCGAAAAGATGACTCATATTTGTTAACTATGAAAAACCAAGTACTGATATTACTATTTTCTAGAATAGTCAAAATAGAAACACCAGAGTCAGTTAACATTTTATTACTTTGCATGTAATCGTAGTCCACTGCTTTTATTATTTTTTATTAAGTGCCAGACTTAATATCTAATGCATGGCACCAGTTATGTATTTTATACATAATATAAAGACTTAAAATATTTACTTAAATCAAAGTTCTTATCATTCCAAAGTTCTTATCATATTAACCATGTTAACTTCAAATGTTTCTGGTCCAAGTAAAAGAAGTTTCTCAAACATGAGACATGCTTCTGAATTGAAGCAATGCCTGAGGGGGAAATAATTTTGTTTTTATTTTTGTCTTCACTTGCCCTCATCCCCTAACTATCTCTTTTTCTTAAAGATTATTTATTTACCAACCTACTTAGACAACTACAGTTTAACAATAAAAAAGGGGAAGCAGAAAGAAAATAACTACCATACAAAGAAAATTTAAGCAATTCTGTGGTAAATGAACAAAGTATGAAGTATAATAAAGCATAATGAAAAAATATTATCATAACCCAAACCCCTCTTATTCATATGTACATTAACTTTTTACAGTTTATATTTGGGCTTATTTTCTATGCCTAAGAATCAGAAAATATCAGTAAATCTTTTTTTTTATAATGTAATAGTTTACTTTTACATCATTTTTGTACATTTTTTTTTCATCTCAATTGTAATCCCCATGGGTTTTCCATCACCGAGTCACCCGTGTGCCATCACCATAGTCCCGTGCACTTCCCTACCCCCCAACCCGTTGTTGATCCCATTCCCCACTCCACCCCCACAAAATGTTTCTGGTCTATGGCTGTTCATTATTCTTATTATTTTCTCTCCTGGCCCATTATACTCCTGCTATGAGCGAAACCATCCGGTATTCAGAAAATATCAGTAAATTTTTATCAGAAATATTTACTTGTTGTTACCTTTAGATTTGGGAATTAGCTCTCCACAACTGAGTATCCGCACTTCAGCAAATGGTTTGCTAGCTGCATCTGTTTTCTGGTTTTCTATCTCTCTTACAACTTCTTGACCAGAAATCACTTGCCCAAAAACAACATGATGCCTGAGGGGTCAAGTAAAAATGGTTCAATACAAGTTTCTTATTTTAATATTAATTTAAAGCAGGTAACAAAGTAAATAAAATCTTTACCCATCTAAATGAGGAGTTGGTTTCGTTGTTCTTTTGGAAGTCATCAGATAGAAGAATAAAAACAAAGTCAGAGAAAAACAAAGTTAGCATCTCTAAAAAGGAAAAGAAAATAACTGCATTGGAAACACAGTTGTAAACAGAAATTATATGACAACTTAACATAATATAAACCTGTATTAACCCTTAATAGTATAAATTACAAGTTTTTCACATATTTGAAATTTTACTCTGATTTAAAATATACCCTGGGCCCTCCCTGGTGGCGCAGCGGGTTAAAGCACTGCACTGAGAATCTAAAGCCGCTTCCGCATGAGTTCGATTCCCGCCTGCCCCGGAGGTGACCACATGGCGTGGCAGACCTCTCCTGACCCGCCCACTGCTCCCCTCAGCAGTGTACTTCGTCCATCTGCCTGTTCTGCTCCCCACTCTGTCTCTGGTGAAGCCTCTCACCGCCCCCGAGCCTCTGGCCTGTACCCCAGTTCTGTATGCACAAATAAATAAATCTTTAAAAAAATAAATAAATAAAATAAAATATACCCTATTCAATGTTGAACATTTATATGTTATTAAATTATTTCCACCCACCCATGTTTCCTGTATGTGATTGGGTTTTTATTGAATATTCACAGGTGTATATGCTTTACCATATGGACTTACCATTGTCATCAAACCACTCTACCAATATATATATATGTCCAATAATTTTTTCTGTTAATGTTTTAAACAGTTAAAAGCACTGGTCATGTTTTGATGGGCCTCACATTTGTTCTATGGGACCTGAATAGAAATGGCCCATACAGAGTTCATAAAATTTTAAATAAGGTACAAATATTTAAAATTTTGACTACTTTTACATAAAAATCTAGATTTCAAACCCTTCTAATAAGTTTCTTGTCCCAGCAGGCTTTACTTGCTTATGTTACTTGACTAAGACCTACAGGTCTTGGAGTTTGTTACTCTTAACATAAAGCAAATGTCACACTGAAGAAAGAGACCTGGATTAAAACTTTGGACAATCCCAAAATAAGCAAAAGTTCTTTTTAGCAAATAAACTAACTTTTTAAAATCCCACTTTTCTCTGGATTAACCTTAAAGCTATGTAGTTAAAAAGACTGAAAAAAGGCACTGTATAAAATGTATTCTTTTTAAAAATCTTTAATTAAAGGCTTTAGAAATTTAAAAGGAACACAATTTAAGCTAACCTTGGTTAAAATACATGATACTACTAAAAAAGGACTAACATGTAGATATATTCTTAAGTTACTCTAAGTTTAAAACTAATTTGCCTCGGCCCCTCCCTGGTGGCGCAGCGGTTAAAGCACTGCACTAAGAAGCTTAAGCCAATTCCTCATGAGTTCGATCCCCGCCTGCCCCGGAGGAGATCCACATGGCGCAGCAGACCTCTCCTGACCCGCCCGCTGCTCCCCTCAGCAGTGTACTTCATCGATCTGCCTGTTCTGCTCCCCACTCTGTTCCTGGTGAAGCCTCTCACCCTCTGCATCTCTGGCCTGTACCCCAGTTCTGTATGAATAAATAAATCTTTAAAAAAAAAAAAACAAAACTAATTTGCCTCAATGCAGCAATAATGATCACTTGGTATGTACCACATATTTACATACAATTTGTAATAATTGTGTACATGAAGTCTTCATCTAAATGAGCTGATCCTCACTTCAGCTTCTTATCTGCAAGTTCATTTGCTCATTAGAATTTAATCATAATTCCAAATCAATACTGGTAATGCCTTCAAGGTTATTTGCATATTGTCAAAAAAGCATGTTGATGAGAACGCTAAAAAACCATAACTCTTATAAACTGCTAATGGAAATGTAATGAAAACTTTGGCAGCTCCTTAAAAAGCTAATCATAGTATTATTTTCTGTTTCAACAAGTTCATTCCTAGGTAAACAACCAAAATAACTGAAAAGACTCAAAAAAGGTACATGTATGTCAATGCTCAATGCAGCATTATTATTCACAATAGTCTAAAAGTGGGAACCATCTAAACATGTAATAACAAATACAGATTAACAAAATAGGTACGTAAATAAAATAAAGTAATATTTAGTCATAAAAAGAAAACAAATAATATAAAGTTTCACTTAAATGGTATATTTAGAACAGCATTATTCACAGGAACAGAAACTACTGACCGAGATTATTAGGAGCCGGGGGAAAAGGGTAATGGTCTCTGGGATGATGAAATGTTTTTGAAACAGAGATGACGACTGCAAAACTTTATGATTATACTTATATACTTATACTGAGTTACACATTTACAAATGGTCGAAATGGCAAATTCTGTATTATATATGACTGATTTCTTTCTTTTTTTTTAACAACGACTGACATGCTCTAAAAACTGAAGTTATTTCCTTAAAAACAAACAAACAAACAACACATTAAATAAAAGAATGGCTCTCTAGGAATGAAAAGAAATAAAAAATGAATGATTCTGAGAATATAGGTGTAAGATTTTATGAACTTAACATAGGGGTCTTGGTTAGTACAGAAAGGAAAATAAGTTAACACTCATTATCACTGGCACCAACCACTGAGCTGTCATGGAGATCTAAGTAACTCTCCCCCAATCAAGCTCTATTTTCTGATGCTCTATTCCCCTGTCCACCTTCTCCTGCTGCCTGTTTAGGAATCATATGGTCTGCAAGCCTGAACCTCCACTCTTTCAACCCTTTACTGATGCAAGAAAGGGTGATCATCTGCTTCCTGCAGCCATTGAGGATTATATTCATGTAAGAATTCAACAGAGAAACAACAGAAAGACCTTTATCACTGCTGATTATTGTAAAACTAGAGAAGGCATTTAAGAAGAAATTTTCTAGAAATGGTACTATAACTTATTATGCATAATGCTTTCATTGTTCCTCAAAGTTGTAGCATGTTACCAGTATTGCATTCCTTTTTATGGCAAAGTAATGTTTTGTTTTATGGATATACTAGATTGTTTATCCACTCATCAATTTATAGACATTTTGAATTGTTAAACCTTTTAGCTATTAAGAATTTTGTTTTTATAAGAGCATTTCTTGTACAAATATTTCTGTAGTTGGTAAACTTAAACATAAAAACTAAATTCTGTCTCAAGATATTTGAAAGTAAAGTGAGGAAAAAAAAGATATGACAGAAAGAAGAGTAGGTTTGAAGAGAAAATATTGGTTTCATTTTGTTTAAGTAAAAGTGAAAGAATCCAAGAGAAAGACAAAAATGTGTATATTCAACTTTAAACACAATAGTATTGTAGATTTTTATTTTCCTGAATTGTGGACTCTGTTATTGAGATCAGTCTCCTACTAGAAATAATTTAAGTGATTAGTAAGAAGTAATTCAGCTACAGGATAACCAGCCCAAGAATATATGTGCCAGTTCTCTGGACAGACTGGACTGGTTAAGGATGACTAGCTGATGGCTCTTTTCATTTAATGAAGCTTAAGTAAGAATATCCTTGCAGTGAGAAGAATTCTCCTTCTGTCCCATGTCACAAGTTTGAAAACTTCACAGTTTGTTTTAACTCGCACTAGTGTAACAACTTCATGCAATAAAGTAAAAAGAGCCATATTGTCTAGTCTTGAGGTCCCTCATTTAAATAGGCTCCTGGCAGTGTCCAGCTTGAAACAAAGCAATACTGTGATATTTCAGCCACTCCAAGAACTCCAAGATCATTACTGGCTATGCCTGGCTAGAAGCTCCTCAGCTCTCTCTCTGCAGAGTTCCCTGCCCTATGAGAATGCCATTACCAGAACAGACCTCAGTGGGGCTGAGGAGAGGATGTGTTAAAACTGCAATGACAGCTGTACCACAAGAGGTAGTCTTTGGTAGCAAGATTAAGATGCCCTGGTGTCTCCAACTTGACCAGAGCACAGTGTCTACCTTCTATCTGGCTGGCTACCAAGGTCTTTTTCACCAGACATATCCTAGCTAGTTAATGTCCAAACATCAGAATGTGAAGCCAGTCTTCTATGAAACTAAACTTTTTACAAGGAAACAAACTTCAAAATGATGCATGTAGCTAAGCTTGCAATTTACTAGTAGCCAGTACCGAGTGCCATATAAGTAACAAACTGGTTTTTAGTATTACTTTCCTTCAGTTTTAATGTTATAAAACGTATTTATACTCTTAAATAAAATTGCTTTCAGAAAAAACTAATATTTAGTGTTGTTGAAGCAGCGGTGGAACTTCTATACTGCTGGTACTAGAGCAAAAATATGTTTCCTTTAGAAGTCAGTATGTGTGTGCACGTGCAGAGTTTAAAATGTGTAAATATTTTACTAAGTAAATTCTTGCTAATAAGTACAATGTTCACTTTATTATTGAAAAATGAGAAGTGCACCAAAAGTTTAAAATGAAATTAAAATAAAATTAATTGATTGAAACAAAGGAGTAATAAAGCTAGTAAAATGTCATTATTTAGTGACAGAGAGATTTATAGTATATCTGAAGATGGTTACAGAGTATATGACCCTCTATATTTTTATTGCATGAAATGATACTTGAGGGGTGGGATTCTTTTTCTTTTTTTACCTGTGTGCTGGTCTCATCTTTTAAAAAAGGCACAAAGACCAGTAACAGGCAATCGGCTGAATAAACCATTATATACATCAGAATACTATTCAACTGCATAAAAAAGAGTAAATCTTTAGGAACTGGTGAAATTCTCAGGATACAATGTTAACTAAAAAGAGCAGAATATGTAATGTATCTATTATGTAAGGAAAAAAAACATCTTTGCAAAAGAAATACAAGAAGATAAGCCATAAATTAACAAGGCTGGTTACAAATATAGATGAGTGGTAAGGGATGAAAAAAAACAGGGGAATGGAATGAAAGTTATATGGGTATGATATTTCAAGGATGTTCTTTTTTCTGACTTTTGTAATCAATGTTAATTTATTTTATAAACTTAAACCAAAAATAAAGTGAAAGATAAAAGAAAAACAAGATAAAAGGGAGAAATGGAAATCTAATTTGAAACGAATCTAATGTATTTTATACCACAAAACCACACAAAATTCATGTCAGAAATACTGGTCAAGAAGGTAACTCATATATGATGTAGCTCCTCTGTCTTACTCGCTGCTTCCCATAGCAATGTTATTTCAGAAAATTTGCCTCTGTTGCTCTCCACTCCATCTCTGGAATACCCCTCAACCTTTGCATTGCCTGTACCCTAGTTCTTCTATGCAAAAAAGGGAAAAAGTATCTATAAATAGTAAACTCTAGCTAGTGGGTTTTCACAGTGAGAGAGAATGGCAAATTTTTATTCTAGGATTCAGCAAATGAGTAAAAATTTTGAAAATAACTGGAGCCAGGTTTCTCACTGTTGAAGAAAGTAGTTACAAATATGGAATAGGAAAGCACTACAGTAATTCACAGGGTGTTGAGAGATTAAGACTAAGAGAGTTTAAAGATATTAAGGAAAAGAGCAAATCTTTACCAAACAACCCAATAAAAATTATCCATTGCTGACAAAAGTCCTGCTTACAATTTTTTGGTATTCAGAAATCGAACAATAGCAGTATTATAAATAAATTTACAAATAAATGTTAGTGGATAGGCCAATTTATAAATATAGAATCTGTAAATGAGGATTTGGTTCTATTTTAAATTCTTTATAATTAAAGCAACTTATGGGGAGATACTGTATGTAAATATCCTGATCCTTACTAACCCTGTACTCTAAATATACCACTCAGAAACCATTCTTTGTTCAATCAATTAATACTGTGATTGCAAGTAATAATTTTTCTACCTCTGCCATTTCATGTATACTTACTGGCTGATATTCTACTAAGAGTTTTTCCTTCTCCTTGGTTACTTACTTTTGTATCTATGGATTTCTGAATTTCAAGTTTATTTCTTAATTCAATGCTACCATTAGTTATTTTCGTGCCGAAATTTTCTTAATCAGCCCAAAGGGAACTTCACCCTCTTCTCGCTGGCTTTGTTCTCTAGACAAGTCTTCATCATTTACTTGAGCAGCACAGTTTAACTTCCCTTTCAACAATTTTCTCCTCTTTAATATAATCTTTATGCTCCCTTCTTCAAAAATTGCCCTTATAGATCCATTTCTTATGAGTGATTAATGCCAGGTATGCACACAGAGAAATGGAACACAAACAATCATCAAGTAATAAATACTTACATGAAAAACTGTGAACCATTTGTATCCTTCCCTCTGTTGGCCATTGATAAGAGAAATTCTTTGTTGTGTTTAACAGCAAAACTCTCATCTACAGAAGAATAAAGTTTTAATTTACATTATAGACATAACCACTAAAAATTTAGTAAGTCAAATTATGAAAGGAGTATCAAATATTATCAAACTTCTTTGTATGTTCCTTTGTTCTATAAAACCTAAATACTGTATCAACTTCCTTTCTTTCAATTTACATTTCTTGAAAAAGACAACAGAATTTTCTTTGCTATTTAAACAAGAAATGAAACTCTTTAAAAAGCAAAAGAATCCAGGGGTCCTCTGTGGTGGCACAGTAGGTTAGGACGCAGCACTGCAAGCTGGTGGCTTCTGCTTCAGTGCGAGTTTTATCCCAGCCCTGGAGGTGATCCACATGGCTTGGCAGACCTCTCCTGGCTTGCCCGCTGCTCCCCTCAGCAGTGTACTTTGTTGATCTGCCTGTTCTGCTCCCCATTCTGTCTCTGGTGAAGCCTCTCACTGCCTCTGGCCTGTACCCCAGTTCTGTATGCATAAATAAAACAAATCTTAAAAAAAAAAAAGGCAAAAGAATCCAGAGAAGATTCCTTTTTTATTTCAACTGTTTCATTTTGAAGTACAAAAAGGCACTCATTAATTTGATGATGCCATAAGCATCACTTTTTGCAAGGAGCAGCTTGCCCTCCAATTCTAGATTCAAATATGAGAACAAAACATGTGGAATATGGAGCAAAGCTTCACTGAATTCCCAAAGTAAAAGATGAGAAATACTAAATTATTTTTATATTAACAGATTATTTCAAATGATTTTCACATCATAAAAAATTTCCAGAGAAACCACAAGCTTGGAAAAATCATTATAGCAAATATTAGAATGTCAATGAAATTGTTTGAAATCTTAAAAAAAAAAAAAAAAAAAAGAACCTACTACTGAAACATTTAATGGACATTTTTACCATGAAACACAACTGAATTTCCTTAACAATGACATAAGATCAATGGGGCCTCCCTGTTGAGGAAAGCCAATAAGTCTCAGCACTATGCAGCTATTGCCAGCCACTGCAGCACACTCCCAGCCAGGACGTAACCCATATGGCACAGTGAACGAGTCTCCTGTCTTGCCCACTGCTCCCTTCAGCCATGTATTTCAGTCACTTGTCTGTTCTATTCCCCACTCTGTCTCTGGTGAATCCTTTCACCTACCTGTGCTCTGGTGTGCACACCAGCTTTTGTACACATAAATAAATGAGTCTTGGGAAAAAGTTAAGATAAAGCAATGGGAGATCCTATTCTGACACTACAATTATCCATGTTTATTACATAGTTCACTTAACTCTTCCAAATAATATATTACTGTTATAAAAACAAAAAATCCTACCTCTTTTGTAAAAATGCTATTCCATAAATTTACAAGAAAATTAGCCTTTAGATTCACTCAAAGTAGTCTGATATTAGTATATTGTTTAAAGCATCTTATTGTTCAATAGAGAAAAATTAAATACAAAACAATTTAAAAGTAAACTTTTTTAAATCAATGCAATCTAGTATCCTTTTGGTTTCTACTTGACTTTATACTGTGTGAACTTCTCTTTAAAATTAAATAGGATTTGAAAACATGGCTTGTAAGTTATTTCACATTACTCTACCATATAAATCTAGCATTATTTAACAAATCCTCTAGTAATTTGTCCTTTTTCTTTGTTTTTGTTCTTTTATTGTTAAATGTAAACATTTTTACCTTCAAAAAATCCTCCATAAATAGATTCCCCGCCTCTTCCATTTCCTAAGAATGAAAAAAACATGGACTCAGAACTCTCAAGACAGTAATCTCTTTGAAGAGCTACCTAAGCAAAATGTTTCTTACGAAGTACTTGAAGACTTTAATAATCAACAATGCTCAACAATAGTAAGTCATAAAAGACATTAAAGTCAATCCTGACAAGATTCCAAAGTATTTTTCCCTATGTTACAGTCAGTGCTTAGCAAGTTCAAAGCCTATTAAGATATATGGAAAAAAGAATTTTCAAATTCTATTTTAAAGATTATGCAGGTCTCAACAGAAATTGCTGACTTTTTTTTCAAATTATCTTTAAAAATTAAAAAAAATTGCTTCAATGCTTTTACAGTAATCATAGGTTACAAATGTATTTTAGTAAGGACTACTAGTTGTCAATACACTGAAAAATGCATATAGTGCTTTGCTTTATATATGGTAGCTAATTTCTGAAATTAGTCCATCAGTGAAATTAATTCTCATGTAGATTTTTTAAAATCTATTTCTGTAAGTAATACTAATTGTTTAGCAAAACACAAAGTCAAGAAAAGCACTGAACTAGCATTTCTAATCAAACTTTGATGTCTATATTTAATTAATAATAAAAATACGATTTTCTTTAGTGATAATCAGGCTTACCTTCACTGAAGTCACCACCTTGAACCATAAAGTCTTTAACAACTCTGTGAAAAAGGCAACTTTTATAATGTAATGGTTTCTGAGTTGATTTTCCAGTCCCCTTTTCACCTACAGAGAAGCAAAGTAAGACATTTAGTACAAAGGAATACAACATAAATTTTATGCAAATTAATGATTAAAGCTTTTGCACTATAAAATATGCCTTTCTTGAACTGTATACAGACTTATTTAAACTATAGAATTTTCATTGCCATGAACAACTTTTTTTTTTTTTAAAGATTTATTTATTCGTGCATACAGAACTGGGGTACTACCATGAACAACTTTTAAAAAATTTATTGAATAGGGCCCTCCCTGGTGACACACAGGTTAAAGCACAGCACTAAGAAGCTAAAGCCACTTCAGCATCAGTTCAATCCCCACCCAGGATGTGACCCACACGGCACTGCAGACCTCTCCTGACCCGTCTGCTGCTCCCCTCAACAGTGTACTTCATCAGTCGGCCTGTTCTGCTCCCCACTCTATCTCTGGTGAATCCTCTCACTGCCCCTACACCTCTGGCCTATACCCCAGTTCTGTATGCATAAATAAATCTAAAAAAATATTTACTGAATAATCACTTTTGCTTTTCCTGCAGAAGTCAATCTCAGATAAAATCCCAATATAAAATTAACATTTCTAAGAACTACTTCACATGCTAGTCAATGTCTTATGTAACAATGTCTTATGTAACATGCATAAATAACACCAAAATATGACTAATCAATAAAAACTGTCATGGTCAAATTATGTTGTCTGGGCAACTGAAAATGTCAACAAACCTGTACAAAGACAACGGAAGTTCTCACAGGTTTTGGGACACACATCAGAAAATAATTCAAAGACAACTCTTCCAGCTGAAAAAGAAGGTAGTTGGTTTAAACTTTATTACTAATTAAATTATTAAATATTGTTTAAATTACTTATAGGAACATTAATTTTCTTACCAGGTTGATTATTAATGGCGATGTCAAAAAAACATCGAGGACGCTGAACTTTTATTCCCATGGCTTCAATACTACAATCTATGAGTAAAGTATAGTTTCAGGCAAACAAGCGAAGTAGAAAAGACTCCTTATGAACTTCTGGGGGGGAAATTATAGAACATAAACTGGAAATGTAGTTTGAATTTATTCTGATATTTACTTCCTATAGCACACATCGATAAATATTCTTTTGTGAGGCAAGTAGTACAGATGTAAAACCATTATCATAACAAAATTTCTATTTTATGATCTGATTGCCCACCCAGACATAAAATTATATTAATTTTGTATAACTACAAACTCAATAGGCAGATTACCTTTAAAACGAGAGAAAAAAAAAATCGAGGGCAAATTGATCTAATCTTCTCCTCCTAGAAAATGGAAATGACAACTTTGATTAAAATGGTATATTCAAATTCCTAAAAAGTACCAAAACAAATTGCAGAGAAAGATAGTAGTCTATTTAAACAGAAATAAACTATGGTAGATTTACATTTTGAGTAAAAACACACTTGAAAGTTTTATACAAGGCTACTGATATGCTAGTGTAGACACACTGTAAGTAAAAAGCTTTAAGTTTTCTCTACATAGCAGGTATCTATTATTTAACACATTTGTTTAATACAAGTATTGGCTCTCAGGCAACAAACTATAATCAATTTCAACTCTTCAGAAATGCATATGCTTTTCTGAAAAATGTCACATTTAAACAATGCATATTTATTTCCTGTGAGGCTCTGAAAGGTCTATACTCTTTCTTTATGTTGAACAGATTCTTCATCTTATCAATTTTTAATTGTACATTCACATGCAGGTGAGGAAAATAAAAGATATACAATGTGTACTTAAGTATTTCCCAAAGTGGTAATGTTGTACAAATTGTATGGTAACAATACAATTTTTAGTATAAAAGCATATGGATGCTGAAACACTTACTCTATTCATATTTTCCCAGTTTTGTACTCTTTAGTGTGTATTTATTTCAACTCAATTTTCTCATGTTTGTACATTATCTACCATCACCTTTTATCAATTTCACATAATAAAGACAAAACCTTTGCCCAAATTACCAAGAAATATTTATTTGTTCAATATAGATTATGTGAATCAGGAATTACATAAAAGATAATTCTGCACTAGAATTCAACACAAGGTATATTTTCTTTTGGCATCATTGCATGCAAAATGGGGAGGGTATAGTATTTCCTCTAATTGTAATTGCTAACAGGTGGATACTAGAATTTATTTCACAAAATACAAAGCAAAAATTACCTTTCAATCTTCCACTAGGTTATGGACATTGATTTCCTGAAAACGAAGAAAACAAAAACCCAGCAATTTTAATATCCTGTCATGTTTGTCACCTTAAGTCTTACAGGCATACCCCATTTTATTTTGCTTTTAAAAACTCTACTTCATACATACTACATGGCCGTTTTTTCCCCTTCAAATTGAAGAAATGAAGGATTCCTGATTTACATCACTGCTTTTCCAATAGTATATGATACTTCATGTTCATCATTTCTGCAATTCTAGCGATATTTCAAATATTTTCATTGTTATTATAATTGACACAGTGATATGTGATCAATGATCTTTCTGTTTTTGATCTTTTCTTGTTTTGGGGCATCATGAACTGCACCTTACAAGATGGAAAATTTAATCCATAAATGTGTGCGTTCTAAGTGTGTTCTTTCTTTCCTCAGGCCTCCCTACTCTGAGACACAATACTGAAATGAGACAATTAATGGTCCCTAAGAATTCAAGTGAAAAGAAGGGTTGCATGACTCTCACTTTAAATTGCAAGCTAGAAATTATTAAACTTAGTAACTTAGTAAGAAAGGAATGTTGAGTGCTAGGTCTTAAAGTCAGTTAATCAAGTTGTTGTAAATGTAAAGAAGACTTCTTGAGGGAGAAAAGTGCTATTACCAGTGAATATATGAACCACTAGTAAGTAAACCGCAATGCTAATGTGCAGAAAGTTTTAGTGGTCTGGACAGAAGATCAAACCAATCAAAACATTCTCTTAGGCTAAAGTCTAATCCAGAGAAAGGTCATAACTTTGTAACTCTATTCATGAAGGTTGGGGAAGTGGAAGTAAAGAAGTAAAGAAGTAAAGAAGAAGTAAAGAAGAAAGAAGTATGAAGCTAGCAGAGGCTGGTTCATGAGATTTAAATGACATCACAATAACATCAAAGTGGAAGGTGAAGGAGCAAGTACTGATGTAGAAGCTGCAGTACTGATCCAGAAGACTTAGCTATGATCACTGATGAAGGTAGCTATACTAAAAAAACAGATTTTCAATGTAGATGACAGTCTGCTATTGGAAGATGCCATTTATGATTTTCTACAAAGAAGAAAATACCTTCAACAGACCAATTAATTCTCCTTTTAGGAGCTAATGCAATTGATTGAAATCAATGCTTACCACCCAAAATCCCCAGGGTTCTTAAGTCTTATATTAACTCTACTGCAGTTATACCGTACAAATGGAACAACAAAGCCTAGATGACAACACATCTGTTAACAATGTTTACTATTTTAAGTCTAATGTTTAGGAGACTCATTTTAAGATATGCACGCTCACTGGTTAACCTGAGCTCTCAGAGTTGTACAAGGAGATGAAAGCTGTTTTCATACCTTCTAAGATAATAAACATTTCAAGTAGTAATTTTGATTTTAAAGTTTGATGAATACCTTTTTATAAGGCTATGGCTATCGCTGATGGATGTGAGAAAAATCAATGCAAAATGTCCTATATTAACTTACTAATCTAGATGCTATTAAGAACATTCATGATTCACGAAAGCTCAAAATATCAAAATTAATAGGAATTTGGAAAAAGATAATTCCAAGCCTGGGTGAATTCAAGACTTCGGTGGAAGAAGTAACTGCAGATATGGTAGAAAACAGCAAGCAAATTATAGTAGAAACTGAAGATGTGTCTGAATTGATATTTCATGACAAAAAAATGAATGAGGAGCTGCTTTGTATGAATGAACAAAGACAGTGGCTTCCTGAGATGGAATCTATTCCTGCTGAGGATGCTGGGACCATTGTTGAAATGACAACAAAGGATTTAGAGTATGACAAAACTGATCAAACTGATAGGGCTTGAGAAAACTGACTCCCATTTTGAAAGAAGTTCTATAGGTAAAATACTATCACAAAGACTCATGGAATTCAGAGAAATCACTAGTGAAAGTAAAAGATAGACAGTGTTGCAAATTTCATTGTCTTACTTTAAGAATCTGCTACAGCCACAGGCCTCCTTGGTGGTGCATAGGTTAAAGTTTCAAAGCTATCAAGCTACCACAAGCTACTATATAGCATGAGCTCAATCTCCAGTAGCTAATCCACCTGGTGCAGCAGACCTTTCTGTCTCACCTGTTGCTCCCCTCAGCAGTCTTATTTTAATAGTTCGACAGTTTTGCTTCTCCACTGTCTCTGGTGAATCATCTCCATCCCTCCAACCTACACTATATGTCTAAATAAAATTAGTATTTCTTTTATTAAAAAAAGACAAATTGGGTTCTCCTGGTGGCTCAAGGGGTTAAGTAGTCTCAGCACTGTGAAACTATTAACAGTCACTGCAGCACAAATTCTATCCCTGGCCAGGGAGCCAACCCACATGGCTCAGCAGACTATCCTGTCTTGCCTGATGCTCCTCTTACCAGTGCATTTCAGTAACTCCATCTGTTCTGCTCTCTAGGCTATCTCTGATGAATCCTCACCCCCTACACCTCTGGTCTACACCCCAATTCTACGCAAAAATAAAATGAAAATAATTTTTTAAATTCCTTAAAAAAAGGTGTGGGGGGGTAGGGGAATGAGATCACTATGTTGAAGCATATCTGCACCTCCAAGTTCACTGCAGCATGATTTACAATAGTCAAGACTTGGGAAAAAATTAAATGTCCATCAATGGATGAATTTATTTTTTTTAAAGTGGCATAATTACTGCTCATCCATATTAAAAAAAAAAGGCCCTCCCTGGTGGCGCAGCGGGTTAAAGCACAGCACTAAGAAGCTTAAGCCACTTCTGTATGAGTTCGATTCCCGCCTGCCCCGGAGGAGACCACATGGCGCAGCAGACCTCTCCTGACCCGCCCGCTGCTCCCCTCAGCAGTGTACTTCATCGATCTGCCTGTTCTGCTCCCCACTCTGTCCCTGGTGAATCCTCTCACCCTCTGCATCTCTGGCCTGTACCCCAGTTCTGTATGAATAAATAAATCTTTAAAAAAAAAAAAAAGGAAATCTTGCCACTAAGGATAAGATTTTTATTTATACATAAGATTTTTATTTATACATTTATATGTATAAATTATGATATGTGAAGTCAGGCAGAGAAAGACAAATATCACAAGAGCTTGCATGTGGAATTAAGAAAACTTAGGTTTTTCTCATAAAGATACTTTTCAAGAAAAAGAGAAAATAATGCTGAGATACCAAAAAATAAAATCAAGTCCATTCCATTTTTAGTAAAATAATTCATAAATTTCCTAGGAATATTATGTAATGGCAGCTTTCAGAACAGTAGTTTGCACGTAATCTGTTTGATGCACATTCTTTTTTTATAGTTTTATTGAGAAATAATTGACATATCACTTCAATAAGTCCAAGGTGTACAGCAAGATGGTGTGACTTGACTATATTAACAAAATAATTATCACAGTAGGTTCAACTAACATCTATTTTCTCATGTAATTATATGAAAAAAAAAGCAGAAAAAGTATTCATATCAAACAGTAGAGTCAGTCGTCATGTCATACACTACATATCTAAAACTTATTCAATGGGAGTATAGGCAGAGGTGCTGAGTGAAAAGACTCACCAGAAGACAGAGTGGGAAGCAGAACAGGTAGATCTACTGAAATACACTTCTGAGGGGAGCAGTGGGCGGGTTAGGAGAGGTCTGTTGTGCCATGTGGGTCAGGCTCCCAGGTTGGGAATGGAACTTGTGTTACAGTGGGTTTGGAGAGCTTCGTAATTCGGTGCTTTAACCTGCTGCGCCATCAGGGAGAGCCCCTATTCTTACTAACTTTTAGCCACCATCTTCAATCTGTCCCCCATTCCTTACCTGATAACCAATAATCTGGTCTTTGTGTAAAAGTTTTTTTAATAAGTGAGATACAGTAGTTGTCTTTCACTGATTTGCTTCTAATTTAGTCTCCATGAGCAGCAGTTTCTATAAAATCCAAATATAAATTTTCTTGAAAGAAAAAAAAATTACCAAATCCAGCAACTGCTGCACACTTCTTTGTGACAGGAACAGCAATTTGCCCCCATCAGATAAGGTATATATGTTCTAGTTTGACCCAGTTTCCACCATTGGCCATTAGCTGCTACCATTTATTATATCTACTTAATCTCATGCACTTACACCTGCCTCAGTGGTACTTAATTTCACTCATTTTTTTCATAACAAAAGGTTCTTTTAAGATAAAATAACCAATAATTAATAAGTTCAATGAAAAACGCTAGATCATATAAAAATACACAAAATCTTGATGTTTAACTTTTAATATTTAAAATATATTCTTTAGTTCTTTCTAAGCAAACAGAACTACAACTTTTTTAAAAGATTTATTTTTATTTAATTATGCATACAAGAACTGGGGTATAGGCCAGAAGTGCAGGCAGTGAGAGGATTCAAAAGATAGTGAGGAGCATAACAGGCAGACAGACTGAAATACACTGCTGAGGGGTGCGGCAGGAAACAAGGTAAGGTCTACTTCTCCTTGTGGATTAGTTTGGGATGGAACTTGTGCTGCAGTGGTTGGCAATAGCTTGATAGTGCTGAGGCTTAACACCTTGTGCCACCATGGAGGCCCACAATGTTGTTTTAAATGTCTACAGAAATAGTTTTGTATGTCAATAACAGACACATAATAATGGTTTTAAATATGAAATGAAAGGATGTATAAACTTCTGCTACAAATATATTACATAAAAAATACTGAGAAAATAAATTCATCTATAAAGTTTTGAACTTGTAGTTTCATACATAAAATAATTTCCATATTCGGGCCCTCCTTGGTGGCGCAACGGGTTAAAGCACTGTACTAAGAAGCTTAAGCCAATTTCGCATGAGTTTGATCCCTGCCAGCCCCAGAGGAGATCCACATGGTGTGGCAGACCTCTCCTGACCAGCCCGCTGCTCCCCTCAGCTGTGTACTTCGTCGATCTGCCTGTTCTGCTCCCCACTCTGTTCCTGGTGAATCCTCTCACTCTCTGCATCTCTGGCCTGTACCCCAGTTCTGTATGAATAAATAAATCTTTAAAAAAAAATTTCCATATTCACCCTAAAGTAACATGAAGGATGGGAGAGGGGCAGAAGAACAACAGAGGCTGCTAAATTTGGAATACATGTAAATGACATAATATTTGTAATTATGCAATAATGTTTAATAATTTATTATATTCAAAGAACTATTTGGAAGTTTCACAGTATAAGGGATTTAGTTTAGTAATGAATGCTGAAAAAAAATAGAAAGTAAATCCTTTTACCTATATTAAGATTGACAAGCAAGCCTTCACTTTTCTTGATTCCCTTGGTTAATTCCTATGTGTCCTTTAAGATTCAATACCACTAGAATACATCCTCCAGGAATTTTTCTTACTTTCTAAAACTTAAATCTATCCTCCTTTGTTGAATTTTATTTTTACTATTGCAAACTCATCATCTATGAACTACAGGCACCTAGTACCTAGTATCCAACACCAGGCACAATGCCTGGACCAAGTTTACACGATGAATAACAGAAAGAAGGTTAGATAATCAAAGAAAAACAGAACTAGACTTTTCTATTAAATTCAGTGCCTTTCTTTGCTGACATGTTTTGCCTTCTTAAATGGGCTTTCCTAATGTATCATCATCAGTAAATTCTCCCAGGGTCTACCAATAACTACCTCTATCTCATACTACAAAATAGCCAGTTTTCAGATTTGCTTATCAGGGCTGCCTTCTTTTAATAAAGTCTTTTCTTTTTTTAAACAGAAACCACTACAAGAGACAGCATTTTCAGTTCAGGACCAGAAACAAAGATGGCAAGTTATCATCTGCTTAAGTTAATTAATGACTATTTTCATTTCACCTCTAATTAAAATCATGTAAGTTAAACTAATTAAAATCATAGCATTCTTGAAAACTGCTTTCAAAGAAGGCATCCATTCACAACAACTTCTTTACCCCATTCTGACATAGCAGGCAGAGATCAAAGGAGAAGCAAAATACGAAATGCTGCAAAACATTTCAATATATTTATGACTAGCAGGCTGTTAGTGAAGTTAAGTACAAACAAATTAGCACCAGTAAAGGCAATTATGCTTTCCCATATTTTGCCCCTTTAATATCTCTGACAGTCACCACTACTGGCATGGTATGAGTATGATTAAAAGTATATAGAAACTTCCTCCCTGCTTAAATCCTATAGAACTTAAAAGAGAGAAAAGCTACATTGTTGAATAAGGCTAAAACATAAAATCTGTCATACATAAAACTCTAGTATATCTAGGTTCATAAAACTTTACACCAAGCTTAAAAAAAAAGTATGCATTAACTGGGACAACTATGATATTCTTGATATTGTAACTGCATAATTTACCAAAATCTCATGATAATGTTATCTCATTGTTTCAACAGAAGTAACTATAACACCCTAGCCACGTGTTATTCAATCCAGTAACTCTATATAAAGAATTAATGGCGCAGTAGGTTAAAACACAGCATTAACAAACTAAAGCCATGGCCCTCCCTGGTGGCGCAGCGGGTTAAAGCATAGCACTAAGAAGCTTAAGCCACTTCCCCATGAGTTCGATACACAGCCTGCCCCCAGGAGATCCACAAGGCCCCGCAGACCTCTCCTGACCAGCCCTCTGCTCCCCTCAGCAGTGTACTTCGTCGATCTGCCTGTTCTGCTCCCCACTCTGTCCCTGGTGAAACCTCTGGCCTGTACCCCGGCTCTGTAAGAATAAATAAATCTTAAAAAAAAAAAAAAAATTTTTTTTCATTAAAAAAAAAAAAAAGAAGAAGAAGAAGCTAAAGCCGGGCCCTCCCTGGTGGCGCAGTGGGTTGGAGCTCTGCACTGCAGAGCTAAGCCAAGCAGTGGTGGCTTCAGTGAGCGCTCAATCCCTGCCCCAGAGGTGACCCACATGGTACAGCAGACCTCTCCTGCTGGCCGGCTGCTCCCCTCAGCAGTGCACTTTGTCCATCTGTCTGTTTTGCCTCCGCCCTGTTTCTAGTGAACCCTCACGCGACCCCTGCACCTCTGGCTGTACCCCCAGCTCTGTATATATAAATAAACTTCAGTTAAAAAAAAAAAAAAGCTAAAGCCACTTCCGCAGGAGTTCGATTCCGGCCTACCTCGGAGATGATCCACATAGCCTGGCAGAACTCTCCTGACCCGCCCACTGCTCCCCTCAGCAGTGTACATACTTAATCTGCCTGTTCTGCTCCTCACTATCTCTGGTGAATCCTCTTACTGCCCCTGTACCTCTTGCCTGTACCCCAGTTCTGTATGCACTAATAAATAAATCTTAAAAAAAAATTACAGAAGGAACTTTAGGATAATCTGGTACAATCTTGTCATTTTATAAATTCAGGCACTAGGACTAGAGAGCTAAAGAGATTGGCTCAAGGCCACAAACAAAAGTAAGTCTAAGAGTCTCCTGTTTGAACATGCCAAAACTTCATTCAATAAATTAGCTTATTTACAAATAGCCCAGATTACGGGTTATTTAATTTTATTTCTCCCACATTACCATATGCAATAAACTACTTACAAACTTGGAGCTAATTAACAAGCTTACAAACTTGGAACTTAATATATAATCTGGCTTCATTCATTAAAAAAAAATCCACGCATTATTCAATGGTTGCTTAAAAACAACCATTTTAATATAAAATATTGATGCTAATATTTACAGGTTTTATGTAGTTATTTTTCAAGATGAGACTGGTGATCATTTTAAGTCAGTGAAAAAGACTTCCTGTCTGGTACTAAAAGTTCAAAGTCCAAATTACAGCAATTTTCTCTTAAGTATTTATTATAACACCGCCTGTAGTAAACTTCAAGTTGCAAGCTTTGCCCTTTACAAACAAAAATGAGGACTGTACAATGCCTTAAACCAGGGTAAAACCATTGATATTTAAATCAAGTGTAACTAATGCTAAAGTAAAAAAAAAAAGAAGCAACAGCACAATGTAGCAGAGATTTGCAACAAACTCAAGTTAACTGCAATTACATATGAATTGCTAACAACAAAATAAGACATCCTAGTACCTTAAGAAACTAAAGACATTAATTTTGTTGAAATATTCTATTAGTAAAATGAAAAATGAAAAACATCAACATGTATTTCTTAGAAAGGCAACATTGTAAGAATTGTCAAAGATGTGCTGATAACAAAGTTAGTTTTACTATGAATGGCTACCAATTTCCCTCTGCAAGAGGAATGGATGCTGCCTGAAGGGAAAGCTAATGTAGGGCCCTCCCTGGTGGCCCCACGGGTTAAAGTGCAGCACTCCAAAGCTATCCCAGCCACTGCAGCAGGAGTTCAGTCTCCAGGCAGGGAGGTGACCCACATTGTACAGCAGACCTCTCTGAGGCACCAGCTGCTCCCCTCAACTCAGCATGTATTTCAACAGACCTGTCTGTTCTGCTCCCCACTCTGTCTCCGGTGAATCCTTTTATACACACACACACATCTGGCCAACACCCCAGTTCTTGTATGCATAAATAAACAAATCTGTTTAAAAAGAAACGAAAATCTAATTTAAAATATGCAATATATCAAAGACAAAGGCCTATTTAGAGGCCAGTGATACTGCAAGACAATAACAAGCACCCCAAAACTAAAGGCCTTTTATAAGTTTAAAATAATATGTACTCTTCACTCTTGGGAGAACTGTTGAGTTTTTCATTGAAAGCAGATTTTACACAGAATTCTATCACACTTGCATAATTATTTCTGAAGTCCATAAATGATGACAGTTTGAAATCAAAATATCATTTTAGTGGTGAAGAAACAAGTTCAGAAACATGGCTCAGTAAGAAACAAATCCAAATGTACTTAGTTGTACACTCTTGGAAGCAAGACAAGGCAAATCCTCACAACAACATTCTAAGACACCCCTCCCACCCCAAAACAACTCCGTAGAAAGCAAAGTTTTTTAAAGCAGTTTTTTAAAAGGTACAAAATCCTACTACAAAAAAAATCCCCACCTCATTAGCATCTTAAAGAAACAGTAATTACGAATCATAAAGAAAACATTAGGCAATGTAAAAATAAACTCTCAAAAACAGAAGTATGAAATTTGTTAAAAATTTAATCGCAATTCGAGCGATTAACATTTAAAAAGAGAGGAGGGGTGCAAAAACAGGCAAATTTTCAAGTATATAAAAAACATGGGTTAGACAAGCAGCCAATTACTGTGACTAGATTTTATGGGCACGATTTCAAAAATGGCCACATACACTCTTTTTCCCCCTATCGTTACAAATTGGCAAATTACTAACCATTCTCCTTCACCAAATGGGAAAAAAACAAAACAAGAAAGAGGCACACCAGTTCTTTCCCCGTATCTGGTTTCAGCTAACGAAAGTCAACGAACCTCCTGCCCCCGAAATTTCCGCAACACTTAAAATAAATTGTTACTGTGACCACTACCGCAAAAACTTCGCTCCGGCATATAAAGTATCGAGACAGAAATTAAATTCAATGCACAAAGTGATGCTTCTGTAACATTTCTCAAAACCGGAAAATTCTCTATTCTCGAGGACCTCAACTTGCTCCTTAAAAGATTAAAGATGAGCCAAATCGCACATTTCCCCCAAAGGCATATGGAGCGCTGAAGCGATCACCTTCCTCCAAAAGAATTCTTTCCTCCTAAAAGGCCTGTGCTGTTACAGCTCTTCTGAACGGAAACCCGAAAACTTCAACATAGCTAAGAGGTACGAAGAGAGCCTGGATTTGAGTTTTAGGAGAAAGCTCAAAACTAAGTGGCCTGCACCATTTACCTATGCACAGCAGCCGCTGTCTGCCTGAGAGTAAGGAGGTCGGAGTAGGAGGAAACCCTGCCTAAACCTCTGTGATCTAGGCTTCCCGCACGCCAATCTCCAATCCTAACCCGACAGGACGTTAGGCGACGCCTACCCCTTCCCCACCAGCCCTCCCACATACCCTGCATTAGTGCTCAGTCCTGCGATTTTGAACCACCAAAAACTGCCCCGGCTTCCTAGAGTTCAGGCCGCCGTCGCTGCCGCCATATTACAGCTTGTGCGGCAAAATGCGTCAAGGAAGGAGGTGTGCGCCCAAGTCGAGAGGGCGGGGGCTTGTGGAGGGAGGACCGTTTCCCACACCCCGAGGCTAAGCTGAAAGCTTCCTTCAGGTGCAAAGTCTGCGCCGCGGCACTTCGGGACCCCCTGGGTGACCAGGCATCCTCGATACCTCGAGGGGAAAACGGTTAACTCAGTCGGGCCTATCGCGCCGGCTCCGCCCCTCTCCTTTGGCCCTTCCCGCTCTCATCTCCCGAGACTGCTGCAAAATACGCCACCGAAACACGGGTCTTGTTCCACCTACCTGCACCGGTACAGTCTCCTCTTCCCGGGCTTTGAGCCTTTAAAGCGCTTCAAATCTACCGCCGCCAGAAAAGGCGCTAAAGCCCACTAACCGCCTCCCTCCCCCACAACCCAGTCCCGGCGTGGAGGGAAAGCGTCGCCCGGGAAGTGCGTCAGGGGTTGGTTGACGGCATTTCCCGGCGTTATTTTGCTTACGTCACCAGATCCTCCCTGGAGTTGTAGGATTTTGGTGTCCAGTTTATGGCTACTGATTTATGTGTGATGATGGGGTACGTTTGTAATCGTTTGCTATATCGTTTATGAAATGAAGTGTTTGGTTTGATAAATGTGTGTTGGCCCTCTGTCAGGATACTGGGAAGGGAAGCCTTTCCTTCTGGGAACTTCATGAGCCTGTGACATAGATAATAAGAAACAGGCCTGAACAAAGTGCTGTTCAGGAAATTACAAAAGACATTGATGTTCTTTGTTGTCTTCTAAATATTTTCGTATCTTCCCCATGATAAATGTTGTTTGTTTACAGATAAAAAAAAATTGAGGCTCAATTCTCAAAGTGTTCCTAAATAGTGAGGAAAGTCTTTGACCCCAATTACGATGCCCTATGGGGAAAACAGGACTTATGATGTTGATAATGATTACATTAAAAGGTGAGTTCCTAGATTATATCAGAAACAAATGTCCATTATGTTGAGAGGTGAGGAAGGAGGAAAGCTAAGGCAATCCTTGTGGGTATGTGGGGTGGATGTATTTTAGAGGAACTAGCTAGGGTGACTTAGCTTTCCTCATTGTATAAAATAACATAATGAGATCATTTCTAACTTTCACTCATTTATGTTAGATGACTGGATTAAAAAGTGATACATA